GAATCATGTCAAATTTTGCAAAATAAAACTAAATTGCACTTGTCCTCCAAGGCAAGAAGCTGCAAAATTGAAAGAGAATGTGCAGTGTTCCCAACCAGAAATCTGGCCAGCATCCCACAGTGCAGAGGGGCAAGGATCACCAAAAACCTAAGTGAAAGAGGGAAGTCTGATACAAGGGAGCCCAGGGGACCCTCTGGGCCACCCCAAGAAGCTGCTTCTGTAGATACTTCTGTGCTCTAAGGGCAAGAGTTAAAACTGTTCCAGACTTCCAGGATTTCTCCATAGAAGCTGAGCCTGCAGATGGGATGCAGAGAGCTGGGAGCAGGATACAGCTGGGCTCCAGCAGCATTTATTCATTGAGGTTCAGTCCCTGAGCTGGATTTGCACTTGGAAAAAAAGCAAACAAACAGGTGGGGAGCTGATAGGATCATAACTTCTTGTTTTAAGGGGGTTTTTGTGCTGACAGGAGTTAGAGAATTACAAACACAGCAGGGTTTTGCTCAGCTGGGCCCATCTGGGTGTATTCAAAGTGTGGGCACATCACCAGGGACCAGGGAAACTTGAGGACAAAGACAAAGCACACAAGAAAACCACTGTCCCCAAACCCACCCTTTACATTTTTCAGGGGCACAGTGACTTGTCTTGTCCCTTCTGCAGTAGAGTTAAACTTTCATGACAGCCAAAGGGACTTGGAGAAGAGCCAGTTCCAGGGACAGACAGCAGCACTACTGGCAGAAGAGCAGGGAAGACCCAGAGCCACTACTGGCCTTGCTGATCTCCCTCCTCATATCCCACACAGCTCATTTGCAAGGGGGTTCAAATGTCTTCATGCATCACAGCTTCCCCATCACACCATGTCACACCACCCAGCCTGGCTCTTCCCCATCAGACAAACACCTCTCAGCAAAACCCTTGCAACATACACTGTTATTTTAGAAAGAACCTATTTCAAGAGGCTTCATCCCTTCACAAGGTGACCTCACACCACATCACATAAGCCCAGGACATAAGGTGCAAGCTCTTCATGTGGAAAAACAAGTACTAGAAGCAGGAAAGACTCAACCCACCCAAAAAAAAAATGAAGGGAAAATATAAGCAGCCATGACACAAGAAAAAAAGGCAAAACATCTCGTGCCAGATCCTCAGCTGATAAAAACACAACATGTGTAGCACAGAGCTTCAGGCTGGGCTGTGCTCACCCATCTCTGAATGTTTAATGGCAGTGCATGCATTGGGCAATCAGCAGCACAAGACAAAAGCATTTTGTACCTCTCTCCACATGTCATGCAATTAAAAGGCTTCTCATCCAGGCAGAGAGAAAAGTCAAGGGACTTTGGCTGTGAAACATCCATTATTCAAAAGTGTATCTATTATTCAAAGTTTTTCTTACAATCCCATTGTCAGCTTGAAAGGGGAAAAAATGAGTTTCTGAAAGCTGTGCTCTGTTGATATTCCACTCCAATTGTAGCTGATTGTAAGTACTAAAACTTCAGACATTTTGAAAAGCTGAAGAAATCCTTCACAGTTCCCAAAAAAAGGCAGCACCCTGTGGGGAGCCACCATTTCTTCCCCCCCCTCACTTAACTCTCCCTGGCAGGGATGTGACACACCCTGGCCAACAGTGTTCTCCCTTCCAAGATTGCTTAGCTACCCCAGCCTTTATTCAGGAGAAGGCAACAAGAGGTTACTCAGAAAGCAGGAGCAAGTACCCACCATTGCACCTGACCAGCTTGTTGACCCCCTTAAGCTCAGCTAAATGAAGCCTGGGTGGGATGCACAACCTTCTCACAGCACCTGGGAGCTTCAGTGTAGCATGCCAGGACCAGGCTGCAGGAAGTCCCATGGGAAACAAGTCCTAAAGGTGCCTTCCACTCCTAGGTATGGGTGCAGAGGAGCAGCAGGTCCCACAGAGCCACAGCAAGGGAAAGCCCAACTCCAGCACAGCTCCTGTTGCAAACAAAAGGCACTGCAACAACTAAACACTGCTGCTCCAGGAAAAAATGCTACACAGGAACCACCTACATAGTAGAAAGTCTTCAACAAACAAATGCTAATATAGTGCATAAGCATGAGCAGTAAATTAGATTTTATCTCCTCTAATAGCTGGAGGACCCAGACAGAAGAATGTTGAAAGCCCCCAGGTCCAGGCATTGTGCATCTCTGTAGGGATGAGATGGGCCCAAAGTCCAGCTGGTAAGTCACTCCATGCACCAGAATGAGGTCTAGAGAAGGTATACAGGTCAAACATTTAGCTGAGTCCAGAGCAGGAGGGATTAATACTAAACTGAGCTGGAGAATGGTGATTTTCCAACAGAACTCAAAGAAAAAGCAAAGGCCCAAGGCTGAGCTTATATAGAGCCCCAGCCCCATGGGTGGGGATGCTCAGGTGAGGCCAGTCAGGGGCACCATAGCTTATTAAGGCACTCAGAGGCCAAGCCAGGGTTTTTGGGAGATAGGGCAGGAGAGGGTGAGTTTCTGCTGCTGGGCTGGCTGCTGAAGAAGGAGCTGAAGGGGAATGGTTTTTGAGGCTGTGTGTTTAGAGCAAGAAGCAGAAGCTAAAACCTGAAAGGTAGTTGAAAGCTGTGAGCTAAATAAAACAGCTATTTGTGAGAAAAGCCTAGAGGCTTTTGAAAGGCTTCCTTATGTTTGAAGAGATGAGGCTTTAAGGCAGAGGGATCTCTGAAGGCCTCAAGACTCTTTTACTTGAGCAAAGGAAAGCCAAGAGAAGATGTGACAGAGGTAAGCAGCACTCAGGGGTGAGGGGCTTGTTGTAATCACATGTGTTAAAAAATACTGCTAAGTAGACTTAAAATACAGGGAAATATTTTTTTGTATGTATAGTGTATAGTTAAAATGTGGACCATCCTGTGGTGTGGCCTGAAGACACCAAAGATGATATTTCAGCCAAGTAAACAAATGAAAGGATGATGAGTGGAGACTAAGAAGTGCAGTTACCTGAAGTGTCATGGATTAAAGCCCTTAAATGCTGGTGGAAGTTCAGGAGGTGCAACAGGGTAAAGGGTCCTGCTTTTCCCCTGTCACACTAACTACTTTGCTACCATCAGGCTGATAACTTTACCAGTTGATAGAAACTTCTGGGGCAGCCTGACCCTGTAAAGTGAAGCCATTGCTTAGTGCTCTGTGCTGACTGTTATCTTTAAGCTGCACAGTTACCTAAAGCACAATGATGCTTCAATAGTGAATCCTTGCAGAGTGTTTCCAGGGCACTAAAATGAGCAGGATGTTACCTGCAGGACAGCTTATTTGGACAAATTCTTTGCTGTAATAGGCCTTTTTCTGCTATTACCAGTGAAATAGGCTAAAAAATCCCCTTCATTTTTTCTTCAAGGAGAAGCTGTGTGTGATGTGATGAGTTTGCAGAGCTTTTGAGAGTTAAAGATCTTCCTCCAGGGCTTGAGGTGCTGCAAAGCAGGGCTGGAGCTGCTGCCACAAGAAAGGCAGTGGAGAAAGCCAGGAGGGTTATTGCAGCACTTTGTAAGTGGAGGCAACTCTGAAGCTGCTTGTGCAGCCAGAGTCAATGTGATGCTGGAACAGCAGGGTCCAGCACAGTCAGATTGAGGTGTTGTCAGATGAAATGGTCTGACCACTGTGTCCCTGCAGTCTCTTGTAATTCAAGTCTCTCTCTTTAAGCTACAGAGAGTACAGCCAGCATGTTTCCAGAGTTCCAGGTTCCTGTTGTTTGTGGTGATGCTTGTAAAGATGATATGGCTGTAATGATATGTATGTATGGCCCCTCCTGGGACCAAGCTGGACCAATAAAAGGTCCAGAACCTTCTCTTTCACCCTAGGCAGAGATGTCTGGAAATGTGTGAGGAGGAGGGAAGGCAGGAGAGCAGTCTCCCTTCCTTGCTGGGCACTGTTGGAGGGATGATGGGACAGTGACTCCATTTCCTGTTCAAAACACATGCAAACCCATGTCTTTATCATTTTGGTCCTAGTTTCAGGTCAGAACTTTCTGTCAAGCTAGTGAGAGCCTGGCACAGGCTGCCCAGGGAAGCTGTGGCTGCCCCATCCCTGGCAGTGTTGAAGGGCAGGTTGGATGGGGCTTGGAGCAGCCTGGGCTGCTGGGAGGTGTCCCTGCCCATGCAGGGGGGTTGGGACTGGGTGATTTTCCAACCCAAACCACTCTGTGATTCTATGATTCTAATCAGGTGCCTGGAGGGGCACTGCTCTGGTACCCTACAGCAGTGGCTCCCAAATGGGGATCAGCAGGACCCTGATTAGCCCCAGTTGCTTTTTGTACAGCTCAAGCTGTGAAAATAAGTTGACATTGAGCTGCTACCCTCTGCTCCCATTCATCTGCAAACTCAAAGCCACAGGTATTTATGGTGAAGGCCACCAGGGAAGGAAGGGACAGAATGAGGAGGCATGAGAAAAGTCTGCATCTGGGTCTGGAATTTCTGCCCCTGGGATCCACCTCAGCTCCTGGGTATTCCTCTGCCTTCCATCCTTGAATGTGCTGGATGGTGACAAAGTAAATATTTCTGAGGAATTGAGCCATTACTTCAGGATTCAAATATCATCAAGTAAGAAAAAAGTGGTTTGAACAACTTCAGAAGTGCTGGGGGGGGGGGAGAATGCAAATGAAAGCCTATCAGGATTCACTAATCCACTTCTAAAATATTACCCCAGCACCTTATTCTTTAAGAACACAAACTTGTTATGTTTTTGACTTTGCCATTGAGCAGATCACAATTCTGGCCTTGCAGTGTCAAACCAGGAGTTAACAACTCCCTGGCTCAAACCCAAGGAAAGAAGATTAAAAAGTGTGAAGGGAAAATGGGATTTCTTGATGTAGTATTTTTGTTTCTTAGAGCAGCAGGCCTCAGGAGGCTTCTGTGCCAGGGGCTAAACTGCACAAAAAAAAACCCTGCTTCTACCTACAGGAAAAAAAAGTTGTTAAAATAATGCTGAGGAATCTGTTCCACACTTACCTCTTCTAGTTTGAAGACTGGTCCAACATGGGAATGGGTATTTACCTCCTGGCAACATTGGGGAATGGAGGAGATGGGGCTTTTCACAAGGCCATGGAGTAATAGAGCAGAGATAATGACTTTAAGCTGAAAGAGGGGAGATTTAGATTAGACATTAGGAAGAAATTATTTCTTTTGAGGGGTGGTAGGACAATAGCCCAGGTTGCCCAGGGAAGCTGTGGCTGCCCCATCCCTGCAAGTGTTTCAGGCCAGGTTGGATGGGGTTTGGAGCAATCTGGTCTAGTGGGAGGTGTCCCTGCCCATGGCAAGAGGGTTGGAACTGGATGATCTCTAAGGTCCCTTTCAACCCAAACCAGTCTGATTCTATGAGAGAAGAAAAAAAAAAAGATGGGGAAATCCTCTTCCTGGTACAAACTCAGTTTGCTTCCATGGCAAACACATTCTTCAGAAGCAGCAGATGAGTGGGTAAAATCCATCCCCACAATCTTGCCCTCCCATGCCAGAATGAGGAGGAAAGATCTAGTGGAGGTCACTGGCACCTTGTCTCAAGGCATGCTGAGGAAGGCTGTGGGTGCTGAGCTTTCAGGTATGAAATCCTCTGGTCTGTTGTGCTGCAGTGGTGATGTCAGAAAACACCTTAAACCTAAAAAAGAAATATTTAAAAATGCACCAAACCAAGGTCCTGTTCCCCCCCATCCTCTGTGTGTGCAGGGGGCTTAGGCACAGGCATCACTCCTGGGAGGCTGTCAGCTGAACCAAGGGGAATTGGAATGTGAAAAGGTTTGTGTTAACAGGTTTTCTTTCAACTGCCTGCTGTGTGGAAAAATTCCCTCTGAGCATCCCAATTGGCCAGTGGTGCCAGGGGAGGGCAAAACCCAGGAATGGGAGGGTTGCAAGGCAGCAGCACTGGCACAACTAAAGCCCTGAAGGAAGACAAAAGTTTTTTGTCGTTTTGGAAAACAAATGCTGTGTTTCCTTACCTTCTGATCAATGGCACACTGCTCCTGTAGCTTTAGTTCCAGTCACACCAATTACCCTCAATCCCTGAAAAAAAACCACACCCCTTCTTGGATGGGTGTCAGGAGAGAAATCACTTGGTCCTGCTGTTCTCTCTAAATTAAACATTATATTTTTGTGTTTTCAACCAGGACCATGAACAGCTCAAGCTGTGTCTAATATCAGTTCACTTAGTAACTCCCTTAACTACATGTATTTACTCCCTTCATCTTTAGAAGGTGACTCCTCTTGCAGAGCCTGTGCCCTCCATCCGGCAGAGCTCAGCACCCCTCACCAGCTTGAAGAGGACAACCTCCTTGACCCACCTCTGGATCTACACCCACAATGACCACAAGGGGCCGGTCTGAAATTCTCACATTCCCACGTTTTTCACATCTGCTTTTCACACGGGCTGAGGGCTGGGGAAGTTTTCAGCAGCAAAGTACCAGGTGGGCAGGAGGTGGCAGCATCAGCCCAGGAAAGAGCAGCTTCTTGCTTCAGCTGTGAAATAAATCCATGACTTCTGCAGGCGGGTTTCTGCAGAGGAAAGGAGATGTTTTCACAGCCTTGGATTTCAGAAATGTGGTCAAGGCACAACACTCCTGGACTGGCAAAACCAAAGGAGATGGCTCAGCCTGGAGGGTTTAGTGTGAGAAGGACCATTTAAACATTGCACATGCGTTGAAAGATGCAGGGGCTGAAGACCAGAGGGGTGTTTTTGCCAAGGGGGAGGATGTGCCTTCAGCAGGGGAGCAGTCCCCATGTCCATCCCAGGGTGGCATCTCTGCCTGGGGACAAACTGGCACCCCCACCCCTGATGCTGGGCAGGCTTCTGTGCTTGTTACACCTTCCAGTGCTGAGACACTGGCACAGGTTGCCCAGGGAAGTTGTGGCTGCCCCATCCCTGGAAGTGTTCACTGCCAGGTTGGATGGGGCCCTGAGCAACCTGGTCTAGTGGGAGGTGTCCCTGCCCATGCTGGGGGGTTGGAACTGGATAATCTTCAAGGTCCCTTCCAACCCAAACCATTCTATGAATTATTGCAGCACTGAGGAGCTCTAAGCTGAGGACAGAAGGACTCAGCCCTGCCCCCCAAACCTCTTTATGCTTCAATCTTCTTAACTTTCAGGCAAACTCAGTATTCACTGGAGCTCTCCCCATGAGAGGACACTACCTTCTGCAACCTGCATGTAACCTACTGAGGAGCTCTAAGCTGAGGACAGAAGGACCCAGCCCTGCCCCCCAAACCTCTTTATGCATTATTTGTATGTCTAGGCAACTTCACTGAGATGGGACTTGGGAGAATCTTCCATCTGTGCTGCTCCTTTTCTGCCTGAAGATCTTGCACAAATCACTTCTGTAAGTCCAGTGTTCACACTTGTAAAACGACCCTCTTCTCTGTAAAGAGATCTGGAGACACTGGGGTTTTTTTACTGATTTTTGCTAATGTAGAATTTAAGGGGCCCAAATAATATGAAAAGCAGCAGCCCTTTGTTGTGGAGAGTTTCAGGGCAAATGGACAGGGCAGAGCAAGTAGAGAGAGAGCTGGAGGTACTGTCACATTCCCAGAGCAGGTCTTTCTCCAGTGCCTGAAGCTGTGGAAGGGCTGGTGGCCCCTGAACTCCACATGATTCCCTCAGTGTGCAGGTATCTGTCCCTGCAGAGCAGGGGCACAGCAGCGTGGTGACCGCCTGGCAAAGAGCAGTGTCCCCTGCTTCTCCTGAGCTTCCAGCACCTGGCAGAACCAGACAGACAGACAGAGCTCCTGTCCAAGCTGTTCTGACCACACAGCTCTGCAGACTGCAGGGGGGGTGTGAGTGGATATTCCTGGAGATGGAAGCAGGGTGGCTGAGCTTCAAGAAGAGGTGGGCAGACTGAGGAGTGTCTGAGGGGATCCACCAGTGGAGCTGTGTTCTGCCACCTCTCGTACACACAAGCCAACTTGGCGTGGCCACTGCTGAGATCCAGGGGCTGTTGTGTGTGAGAAGTGGTGTCATGAGAGCTTGGAAGCAGATCCCTGCATGCAGCTGTAGAAGGAAACCCTTTGAAACTTATTTTACCCTCTCCTTATAGAATTGGTACAAAGCTCTGGATATGGAAGATGAAGCACATGAGACAGAAGAGGAGGAACCTATGCAGGCACTCTCACTGAGGTCACACTGACCCACCCCTTGCTACAAGACCTGCGTTCAGACCAGTGCTGAGAAGAAACAGTGGTGAGTTATGGGGCTGGGGAAAGAAAAAGAGAAAAAGAATTGGTGCCTTGGGGCCTTCCAAATCCTTCCATGCCCCCTCTCTCCTCAGGGTGGCTGGGGAGGTGTCAGGGGCAATGTCACCTGCAGCAGGCCAGCTCTCCTGGGCACAGCTCCCATGTGGCCACACATCCCCAGGGGACCAGGTGTCACGTGCTGACTGACATTTTCAATATCAGGTACATATTTAAATACCCAAGTAGATCTTTGCAGCTCTGGTGTCCCACGCTGGCAGGAAACTTTGCAGGAGAGCATTTTGTATCTGAAGGCTCGATTATTCTTTTAATTTTTTGTACCTAGCAAGTGGGCCTTTGCAGCAACATGTGGCAGCTCCCATATAACCAGCCATGCTTAAACCAAGGAGATGGTTGAGCCACCATCCCTGAAGACATCTAAAAAGACAGGTGTGGTGCCAGGGGACAGGATTTAGTGGTGGATGTAGCAGAGTTAGGGTAGTGGTTGGACTCAACAATCTTGAAGGTCTTTTCCAACCAGAATGGTGCTGTGATGTGCTGCTGGTGCAGTGCCATCCCACTGGTTTTCCAGATAGGGGAAACTCAACATGCACGATCCATGCAGGGGTCACAGAGTGAGTCAAAGCTCACAGAGCCAAGGGGTGAGAAACCCTGATCTGCTGACTCCCCATCCCATGGTTTAACCACAAGCTCAGCCTTTCCCCCCAGGGGGGATCTCCTGCTCTGAAGCTGCATTGCTGTCTGCATATGATTTTCACAGAAAAATATTTTCAGATAAAACAATGTGCTGCCAGGGCTGAAATATTTTGTAACTGTCTGGAAGGTGGATGGGAATGCACACATGGGAGGGAGTGCAAGAGGACAAATTTGAGTCTAGAGAAATCAGTGTGGCTATTTGTTGCTGTTGTGATCCCAAGAGGAAGACCATGGTACACAGAGCAGTTCCTGGCCCGTAGAGCAGTTAGCAGTGAAGGTGCTGTGCACACACAGGTCACACAATGGCCATCCAGCCCATGCCATTTGTATCCCTTGGCACAGGATAAACTTTGCTGTTTGATTGTATTGGAGGCAGCTCCCACTTGGCACTGGGGATCACGCCACCTTCTTGTCTTTATCTTGAGGTGAAGCAGCGTGTTTGCATGTCACCATGCTTTTGGTTGGCATTCAGGATGAAGAGCAGAGATGGGTCCTTCTAATAAAATTCTGCAAGAGCTCTAAAGACCAGGACAGATGGATGGAATCAGTTCAGGGTGCTGTGCTCTGATCCAAGGTCCAGAAGATGCTGCATGACTTGGAGTGTGCGGTGTCTGAAGGGATGAAAGATTTTCTACATTATCCCCTTTTTCCTTTTAGGATTAGCTCCTAGTATCTTGATATCTTAAGGAGAGAGTGTCTTTCTTACCAGGGTGATGGCCACTAGCCCTGATGCATCCAGGTGACATAAAGAGTGCAGGCTCAAGCTGAACACACCACCTTTTTCAGATATTCCACAGCATGTTGTTACAAGGCATCATACCCAACGTGGATTGGAGTCCTGCAAAAGGATCACATACTGGCTATTCTGGGCCAACTGGATTTTAAAATATCAGCTGTGGTCATAGAAGATATGGTGCTGAGACTACACTCTTCCATGGAAAATGCAGGCAAGAGAGAAAAAATATCCTCTGCATCTCCAAGATGCTCCATATTTCTCAGGCAAATGCACAGGGAGCCCTAAATATTTTTGACTGTATCTGCATTGCATGTCTGGAGAGTTGGAGGATTGTGGGAGCTCTAGCTGTGGTTTGCAAGCTCAGGTTCCTGAAATTAAAGCTGTATATCTGCATGGAAGTCACAA